GAAAGGCTGCTGGGAATCCGGGCAACGGGCAAGCGTAGTGTAATTTATATTAATGGACAGGCAAGCGTAGTGTAATTTATAGTAATCGGGACGGGCAAGGAATCATTTGCATACGGCTCAGTGCTATGATAGCCATGTGAAAATGTGCTTTAAAATTGCCCCGAGCCAAACCTCTCTCCGTTACTATGCGTTTTGAACCTTTCTAAGTCGGTCTATGACGAAAAAATTTTTTCGATCAGCCAAAAATTTTCTAAGTGTCAAGCCTAGCTTTACTTGACACCGAAATCCGGGCAAGCGTAGTGTAATTTCTATTAAATAGGACGGGCAAGGATTCATTTGCATACGGCTTCAGTGCTATGAAAGCCATGTGAAAATGCGCTTTAAAATTCCCCTGAGCCAAACCTATCTCCGTTAATATGCGTTTTGAAACTTTCTAAGTCGGTCTGTGACGAAAAATTTTTTTCGATCAGCCAAAAATTTTCTAAGTGTCAAGCCTAGCTTTATTTGACTCCGAAATCCGGGCAAGCGTAGTGTAATTTATATTAATCGGACGGGCAAGGATTCATTTGCATACGGCTCAGTGCTATGATAGCCATGTGAAAATGTGCTTTAAAATTCCCCCGAGCCAAACCTATCTCCGTTAATATGCGTTTTGAACCTTTCTAAGTTGGTCTATGACGAAAAATTTTTTTCGGTAAGCCAAAAAATTATTTGACTCAGAAATCCGGGCAACGGGCAAGCGTAGTGTAATTTATATTAATGGACGGGCAAGCGTAGTGTAATTTATAGTAATCGCGACGGGCAAGGATTGATTTGCATACGGCTCAGTGCTATGATAGCCATGTGAAAATGTGCTTTAAAATTCCCCTGAGCCAAACCTATCTCCGTTAATATGCGTTTTGAACCTTTCTAAGTCGGTCTATGACGAAAAAAATTTTTCGATCAGCCAAAAATTTTCTAAGTGTCAAGCCTAGCTTTACTTGACTCCGAAATCCGGGCAAGCGTAGTGTAATTTATATTAAATAGGACGGGCAAGGATCATTTGCATACGGCTCAGTGCTATGATAGCCATGTGAAAATGCGCTTTAAAATTCCCCTGAGCCAAACCTATCTCCGTTAATATGCGTTTTGAACCTTTCTAAGTTGGTCTATGACGAAAAATTTTTTTCGGTCAGCCAAAAAATTATTTGACTCAGAAATCCGGGCAACGGGCAAGCGTAGTGTAATTTATATTAATGGACGGGCAAGCGTGGTGTAATTTATATTAAATAGGACGGGCAAGGATTCATTTGCATACGGCTTCAGTGCTATGAAAGCCATGTGAAAATGCGCCTTAAAATTCTCCTGAGCCAAACCTATCTCCGTTAATATGCGTTTTGAAACTTTCTAAGTCGGTGTATGACGAAAAATTTTTTTCGATCACCCAAAAATTTTCTAAGTGTCAAGGCTAGCTTTACTTGACACCGAAATCCGGGCAAGCGTAGTGTAATTTATATTAAATAGGACGGGCAAGGATTCATTTGCATACGGCTTCAGTGCTATGAAAGCCATGTGAAAATGCGCTTTAAAATTCCCCTGAGCCAAACCTATCTCCGTTAATATGCGTTTTGAAACTTTCTAAGTCGGTCTGTGACGAAAAATTTTTTTCGATCACCCAAAAATTTTCTAAGTGTCAAGCCTAGCTTTACTTGACTCCGAAATCCGGGCAAGCGTAGTGTAATTTATATTAAATAGGACGGGCAAGGATTGATTTGCATACGGCTCAGTGCTATGATAGCCATGTGAAAATGTGCTTTAAAATTCCCCTGAGCCAAACCTATCTCCGTTAATATGCGTTTTGAACCTTTCTAAGTTGGTCTATGACGAAAAATTTTTTTCGGTCAGCCAAAAAATTATTTGACTCAGAAATCCGGGCAACGGGCAAGCGTAGTGTAATTTATATTAATGGACGGGCAAGCGTAGTGTAGTATAGTAATCGCGACGGGCAAGGATTGATTTGCATACGGCTCAGTGCTATGATAGCCATGTGAAAATGTGCTTTAAAATTCCCCTGAGCCAAACCTATCTCCGTTAATATGCGTTTTGAACCTTTCTAAGTCGGTCTATGACGAAAAAAGTTTTTCGATTTTAGTTGACTCAAGAATCCGGGCAGCGGGGAAGCGTAGTGGATTCTGTATTATTAGACGGGCAAGGACATTTGCATATGCATACTGTGTGAAAGTTTTATGTCAAAATGTGGTTTAAAAATTCTCCTGAGCCAAAACTTTCTGCATCATTATGCCGTTTAGTTGACTCAACAATCCGGGCAACGGGCAAGCGTAGTGGATTCTATATTAATAGACGGGCAAGGATTCATTTGCATTTGTATACTGTATGAAAGTTTATATGTCAAAATGTGCTTTAAAATTCTCCGGAACCAAAACTTTCTGGATCATGCGTTTTGAATATTTCTCAGTCGGTCTATGACGAAAAAATGTTTTCGATCATCCCGAAATTTTCTCAAGTCAAACTTTGGTCGAAATTTTCTAAGACAAGCTCAGCTTTAGTTGACTCAAGAATCCGGGTAACGGGTAAGCGTAATAGAATCTATAATAAAATACTGGCAAGGATTCATTTGGATACGGCTTGTTCTGAGAAAGTCATGTCAAAATGTGCTTTAAAATTCCCCGGAGCCAAAAATTTCGCATCACCTAGTTTTGATTCAACAATTTTTCGAACATGAGCACATGCTCCAGACGACGCAATTAAGCAACATGTGCATACGTATGCGGGTGCTCAAAATATCGTGGGAAACAAAGATCGCACAAAACTCCGTGCATGTCTGAAATAGGGCTGCTCGCTAGGGCTCGCAGCAATCAGTTGCGCCGGAGAAGACACGACGCAAAAAGCGCAATTGTATTTGCGGCGAAAACTGAAAATTAATCGTGCGTCAGTCATGTGACCGTGAAGACACCGCACTGTTGTCCCCAGGTTTTCTTCATGTTTGAGTACACGGCCAAGATGGAGGATTTGGTTGGAGTGTATTCTGTATTCTTTGATCTTGCTTATCAAACAGCTTGGAGGAGATATAACCATCGCAAATTTTGGTGAGTTTTATAGTTTACTTGGTTTTTAATCTTTGTTAGTTTACAATGAGTTTAGATAGTTCTTTGAATGTTTGCATGGCGATAAAATATAATTGTTTTTGTTTGTGGAAACATGTTTGTGCAGTAATAAATTTACGTGGTGTTTCCACAAACAAAAACAATTAGAGTTTAGATAGATAGTAAATTAATTACTACTCACTAATTATTAAACTCTTTAGAAATCCCAATAATTTGTTTCAATTGTTTGTAGGAATGTTATTATTCACGTGGCAACAGCATGGTTGTCAACAAAGTTTTTATTATCAATGGCAGGAATATTATTTCCTACAATTGTCAATATTTTCCTTATTTTTTTCAACATTGCAATTTGCTTGGCACAAGATCTCAAACTTGGGGTATGTTTTATGTATCTGTTAAATGTTGAAACTTGTAGATTTGGATTAAGGTTAGGGCTATAGGGTTATGATTTTTGGGCATTTTCTATAACATAATTGGTGGCTTTTTCATATTAATATTGAATTCTTAAAGGCACCAGTATTTCAAAGACAATTCAAACGTTTTTCCTCCAGGGAATCTATTCTGTATTGTATCTCCTGGTTGCATATCATGGTCTGAATGTGGAAACATCATTTATGCAAGCTTTCATCATGCTTGTCCTAGTTCTTGGCTTTCAAATTGCTGTCGGACATTTCTTGATTGAAAGTGAACAACCTGTCATTTTGGAAAGACAAGGAGATGTTGTGTTTATTGTTTGTACTATAATGAATGACCTCTTCTTAGCACCCTTTCATTTCGCAGTGCTCATCTTGATGAGATCAAACTTACTGCCAGACTTACATTGGAGGTCTGATATACAACTTAAGAAACTTATGGAGGAACTGGAAGGGAAAAAATCACCTTAAAGTTATTTTATAAGAAGATTTTATACGAGTTTATAGTAATATTTTTATAGTTTTAACCACAATAACACCACACACCAAGACATGTTGAACATGTTTAAAATAACACATTGATATAATTATATACAGATTTTATTTACATATAAATAAATTGAATGACTACTTGATGCAAACTACTATCTACTTGCCTGCAAACAGGCTCTATTTGAACAGGCTCGAATTCAATGCAAAGAGCCTGTTTGCTGGCTACTATCTACTCTGAGCTACTACAAATTCTTTAAAACAATTATAAGAACAAAAACAAAATATAAAATAACAATTAGAATCTTTAATCTGAGTGTACAGTTTATCCTGTATCAGAGTTAGGACTTGTGAGTAAAGGCTGTCGCAAGTTTCAAAAAATGCATTTACATAATATCTCTGGCTGCATAGGTGACAACATCCTTTTGGAGTTTTCAGTAATGTTTGCAATGGTTTGGGAAGCAATTCTTGTTGTTTTGTATCTAGAAAGCAGAAAGGTTTCAGCAACTATCCAGGAGAATAATTTACTAGATTAGGGTTAAGGGTTGAAGCTGGATTAGGGTTGTGAGATTCTATTTAAATTGAGATGATTGTTACATGGAAATTGATTCACTTTGTTATAAATGTTCTTACCAGGTGCATTGCGAAGACATAATTCCAAAAGTGTTACTACATTGCCCATCACCTTCCTAAATTCTTGAATGTTACTATATTCCGCTAATATTTCTACAACACTTTGTCCAACATTGCTGGAACCAGACCTTGAAAACAGCATTGTACCATAATTAGTCTCACTGTAAAACATTACAATTTATGCATGTGACCACAGTTAGGTGACTTACCCATGTAATCCTAAAATTTGAAGATGTGGAATGCCAAACACTGATGCAGGAATAACTGTTAAATCTTTGTTGTTATCCAGAACTAACGATTTTAACTTGCATAGTCTGTTCAATTCTGAAATAGTAGATTGAAAAAAACTTGCCAATATTCTTACCAAACCCAGCCATAATCCTTACTCTAATCATAACCTTTCCTAGGCCTAACCTCATTCTAATCCTAACCTAAATCCTATGTACAATCCTTTATCCTTAAATCCTAACACTAATCTTAATCCTGTCTGTGATCATACCATGTGGCAGATGACTGATGTAATTTCTACTTAATGACAAATCTTGTAGACGAGAAAGTGTAAGAAGGATTCTGGGTAATTCTTGAATCAAGTTTCCATCCACAAACAATGACCTGAGATTGGTACATTTTGATAATTCTTCTGGGAGGCATTGTATGGAATTGTTCATCAACTCAAGAATTTCCAGGGATTTTAGTTGACCAATTTCTAAGCAAAGATAAGCTGTCAGTAAGATATTTTCAACTTGATCATCACCTCCACAACGTATAGACTCTACCTGGGGGAATGAATTCCAGCTCATTGCTTGATGCTTGCAATGTTTTCAACTTTGTTAATTCTCCAATTGTCTTCGGGAATAATTTCAGACAGTTACTGTCAATATTTAGCCTCTCCAAATTCACACATTTCCCAATTTCTAAACAAATAAATAAGCTACATAAGCAGAAGTGTTTTGAGTGTCTGAGATTATTAATTATACTCTAGCTTGGCTAGATAATGTAACACTACCATTATTTGGATACCTTCTGGTAGTGAGGTGAGTTGGTTTGATGGTAAGTACCTATGAATAATATAAGCAGTTTAACCAAGATGGTATTGATCGTTTCATGGTATATATGGTATTGACATCAATATTAGAGAGGTTCAGATTTGACTTCTGCTACCATTAAGGGACCATTAACCAATCAGATGCATTTGGTATATCTGATTAACCAATCGGATGCGTTTGGTCTGATTAACCAATCAGATGCGTTTGGTATATCTGATTCACCAATCAGATGCATACTATTAAAGCCAGTGACAGGTTAGGTAGTGGAAGTCAAATCTGAGCCTCTCTATTATTGTTTAGGTATAAGAAAGTACTTACAGTGTTTTAAGTAATGGTAACTTCCATAAATCTGGTGGCTTAACGAAAGAAAATAAAACATCATTGCAAGGCAACCATCATGCCAAACTGCAGAATGCATTGCAACTGAGTCTTACCAATGATTTTAATAAATTACGCTTCAGAAAAAGCCCTTGGATTGAAGTGATCTCTAAGACTTCTCGAGGAATTTCCTCTAAGTTCTCGTAGTTGATATAAAGATTTGTATAATTTTCAACTTTTGCTATCTCAAGAAGATATTGTAGTTGATTTGGCTTTACAGCCGGTTTTATTTGCTCAATAATACCAGAATATTGGTCCATAGCCAAAAAAATTTTAATAGCCATAATTAATAATAGCACAGATAATAGTTCATGCAAATTTTCTTCCAATCTCGTTCCCAGAGTAACCCGCGAACAGGCATACTCTGGGAACGAGATTGATTTTCTTCAGTTTTTAAATGCATTCCCTATTATCCCTTAGGATCTATCTTTCAAAACTATTGAACATTTAAATCCATAGGCTATTCAACAGTGGCCTTATTACCCAATATTATCCATTTGCATTCCACATTACCTCTGCGCATTCAACATTATCCCTTAATATTCAGCATTATCATTTGTATTCAACAATATCCCTTAGTATTCAACTTTATCCCGTTCTATTCAATATTATCCCTTACTATACAATATTATCCTTTGAATTCGACTATAGTCCCTCTTAATCAACTGTTACCCCCTTATATCCTTCATTACCCAGTATACGAACCCAAAGTCAGCATTGTTCAGCAGTCTTACCCCATCAAAATAGAATAATTGTTTCAAAATATTTTCGAAGTTGCTGTAAATTTGTTTCTTTTGATACAATAGGTTTTTATACCAATATATGGCAATTCATGAAAGTTTAATGTTGTTTTCCAGCTAAGTAAGTACATTATTAAGTTATTTTGCTGGAGTTATAGTGTTTATTGTTTAGCTTCAATGTTCAGTGCTAGCCGTGTTTAAATATTGAGACCGAGAATACATGGCGAGGCGGGAAAAACAATTTTTAAAGATATTGAAAATGTTTTGTATTCACAGGTAAAAAACAATGTGAAAGGTTTACAAATAGTGGTTTTGTTAAAGGTATGTCTACAGCAGCTTTCAGTGGCTATATAATGGTTGAAAATATTTCTGTAATATATGTACTGTACACGTGCTTTTAAATGCTTCGGAATACAAAATACACGTAAATATATGAGTCAAGTTTGGGTTTCTTAAACCTTTATTTGATATATACTGGTAGTACAATGTGCTTAGACTGCTTATATATTGAAACCCCCTTATCTGTCTAATACCAGACAAATGTGCCCACACTGGAAAGTAGGGCAGTAGGCCACTTTAGCCCGAGATCTTCTGGAGCAGGTCTACTGTTTTGTAATGCTATTCTAAAAATTTCTGTTATTTGCGGCAGTTCTACTGCGGCAGCTTGTTGGTGCTTTCCACCCAGGTAATATGCTTGCTTTTGAACAAATGTACTTGTCATAAAAACACTTGGCAAAGTTGCCTATATACAGACTAACATGAAAATTTGTCATAGAAAAGCTGCTTGTCTGCAACGTCAATATCTGTACCTGGCTTAAGCAGGTTATAACGAGCAAGAAAACTATGACAAGTTTTTATGTGACAAGTTTTTATGTGACATGTTTTTATGTGACAAGTTTTATTTGCTCGTCTGTACGACAACTTTGACAAGTTTTTCTATGACAAGTTTTCTTTGTTGACCCATACAGACGAACAAAATTTGTACTTTGACAATTTTTTCTATGACAAGTGCACTTGTTCAAAAGCTAGCATGCTAACTTTTGAATAAGTGCACTTGTCATAGAAAAAATTGTCAAAGTACAAATTTTGTTCGTCTGTATGGGTCAACAAAGAAAACTTGTCAAAGTAATCTGAGAATTTGATGTGATTGACCAGCGGACTATTATAATTTTTCTATCATGGCGGCGATAAACACTTTTTTCTGACACGTTCACACCAGTAAATAAAACTTGTCACATGAAAACTTGTCATATAAAATTTGCTGCATATACACATGTGCACTAGCTTGGCAAATAAAACTTGTCACATAAAATTTGTCTTAGAAAACTTGCTCGTCTGTAACCGGCTTTATGAAGTAATATTTAACTATATAGATATGAAAAACCTTCAACTACTGGGCTTCAGTTCAAGCGAAGCAATCCACAACAGTGAGAATGCATGTATGAGCATTGATGTTGACAAGGGATATGTCTATCTTGTCTCGCCTACACATTTTATTGGATTTGCACCAGACACACAGGCAGTGAGTGCATCAATATTTACCAAATAAATTAGAGCTAGAATAAGGGTTTAAGATTACTATTTAGGTTAGTGTTATAAAACACTAACAGCAGAGTTAGTTAAGACTATACAGAGTGTCCAAAAAAACCCGCAAAACCATTGAAATAACGTATTATTAAAATTTGAATGCCCTAGCACTAACTGAACGCAAAGATGCGTAAAATATTGACAAGGGTGCATATTAGATTAAATATTGACTTATTAAGAAATGTTGTGAAACATTTTTTGGGACACCCTGTATAACTGGCTGGCTCTTTGAAATTTTGGTAGCTGAATTCATCTGCAGTTTTCTGCTGAACATTTTTGTCACTACCTAACACTGGCATGGACCATTTGATTTTGTATTTTATATTGTGTGTATTTGAATGTGTTAGGTTGTTGTTGAGCTGCTGTTAGAGTCTTCATTTCCTGACAATGATAGTTCGCAAAGTATTGTTGGTATTCAATATTTACCTCTTCTTGATGGTGTGTGTTTTGCAACTTCCAGTGGAGACGTCAACCTTTTTGATACCACTATTCCACAGGTACAATTGAAAAGGCGATACAAAGTGCTTAAATGCTGGGGTTTGGTGGGTAATCCAAGTGAGCATATATATATACATAGTTTTAAGACCTATAATTAGGAATGGCTGCAAAAAAAAATGCAACTATATATATATATATATATATGCTTGACTGATCATTAAGTGCCACGACGATCCCTTGACAAGTAAAATTGCTTGGTATTAGATGCAATATAATACCAGGGGGGGGGGGGGGCACTAATGCCCACCATTAAGCTGTGATGTATGATGTGGCTAAGAATATTTAATGTATTTTTGTATAGTTAGAATGTGTTGGAAGTGTTGATAGTGGTCTAACATGCATGTCCTGGAGTCCTGACCAAGAAATTGTTGCATTTACAACTGGTATGTTTGTTTGTGCATCTAGAGATATGTAGGTTGTAGGGCTTTGTTTTAATTTGTGACTGTTCATCTTGAGATGCAAGGTTGTTATGCAATTTGAGTTAGCTGTATAATTGAATGATTGTTCAGGTCAAGCGACAATAATTTTGATGAACAAAGATTTTGATCCTGTGTCTGAAGTACCAATACGCTCAGAGATATTTGCCACAGGTCAGTGCTCAATGTCACTCCAGTGTTCTTCGTGTCTCTGTTCTCTGGAATAATAAATGTATTGTTTTTAGATGCACCAGTCAATGTTGGCTGGGGTAAGAAGGAAACACAATTCCATGGCTCTCTTGGAAAAGAAGCTGCTAAAATTAAGAGTGAGGTATGTCTGGTGCATTGTGTTTGGCATTGAATTTGAACCTGAATTTATAATTCAATCATAGACAGGCTTTATAATTTACATACATTTCATTTTCTAATTTGATTACTCTAATCATGGGAGCAAAGTTAATTCACAGTTAGTACAATTATTGAAGTATATTTAAAGCATAAATCCTCTATTTAGCCTCCCTCTCTAACATGCATCCCTCTAATAAGACCCCTCTTTCAAGAAACATATTACCCCTAGTGTGCCCCTCCCCCTTCCATAGGATGCAACGGTAATGATTAGATTTATTTCTGTAACTGTCTTGGAAACTCACATTAGTATTTACTATGTATGTTTTTCTCACTGCATTTCATCTGGAACAATATTTTGGTATCTTAAAGGATGATTCTGGGAGAGTAAGAACTGAAGATGATGACATGATGCCAAGAATATCTTGGAGAGGAGATGGACAGTTCTTTGTAGTTAGTTCTGTCAGTGAAAAAGGTGAGAAATGCTTTAACTGTTAATTTATCTTTGTGCCAGTATTTTGATATATTTGTGTTGTAGGAAATAGAGAGTTGCGAGTGTGGAGTAGGGAGGGAGATGTTCTGTCTACGTCAGAGTTTGTCACTGCTCAAGGAATGCTGCTTGATTGGAGGTACATCATCTTTTATTAGATAGGACATGTCACAGCTGGCTTGCTTAGAAATACAAGGAGAATTAGCAAAACTAGTGAAATACAGGCCTAATCAATAAGTTTCAATTCTAGACCATCTGGGAATGTGATTGCATCAGTTCAAACACTGCCTGATCAACAACAACAAGTGATCTTTTTTGAAAAGAATGGTCTGAGACACGGTGAATTTTCACTGCGCTCTAACCAATCCAAGGTAGTGTAGAAATCAAAATAAATTCTAATATGCTATACTGCTGTACAGTAAAATAACTTCAAGTTATTATTTCTTTGAAAATGTTAATTTGTTTGAAAAATCTTTATGAATATTTTCTAGGCTGTTAAACTGTCTTGGAATATCGACTCTTCTGTACTTTGTGTGTGGAACAAGATTGCTTTACCAGACACAGAGACGTTTTATGACACTGGTAAGACCCGTTAATATCACGAAAAAGTCTTTTACAGCTATGTTACGCGAGGTAGTTTTGCTTCAACTCTTTTGCAAGCACTATGGTGTAAACCCAGAGTTTGTAAAATGCGCTTGCAATAAAAAAAGCATTAGAATAACTTGGATCAGCTTTTCAGAAAATATGCCTTCCAAGTTTGAGGCAAAATTGCCTGTCTGATTTTGTTTGTATCATTTTTTCCAGTTCAGTTCTGGTACAGCAGCAACTATCACTGGTTTTTGAAGCAAGAATTAAAATTCATGGAAGATTCGGTCAGTGATCTATGTTGGGATGTCGAATCTTCACTTAAATTTCACATTTTGACGAAAGCTGGTAGTTATATGTCGTATCAATTTTCTTGGGAGGTATTTCAGTCACGTGGACACCACGTGAATAATGATGCTTCTGTTGTGATGGTTGATGGAGGTAACGTTTTGTTTCGCACTTGCTGCCTTCCACTTGTTCCTTGTGAAACATTGGGAGTGAAGAATGACGGGCGCCATTGTCTCGGCGTCTTTCAAGGAAATGGTAACTAAAATAATTTTTATCTTCGTTTTTTAGCTCACCTCTTACTGACTCCCATGTCATCTGTGATCATACCTCCTCCAATGTCAGCTCATACTTTACAAACTGAGTGTTCAATCAATCAAGTCGCCTTTCATCCAACATGTCAGCATTTGGCATTACTTCTGTCTGATGGAAAACTCGTCATAGTCACGAAAACATTGCAGAAAAATGAAAGCACGGAAAATCGAAATTCTTCAGAATTTTTCCAGGCGAGGTACGTCTCTTTAGTTATCATCCAATACTGTACAAGGTAGATGACCCATATCATAATACAAGAGAGACCCTACTTTAGATCACTTTAAGATAGCGCACATTCAAGAACATGTACTACCTCTGCATGATCTAACCATGCTTAACTCAGCAGTGAGTTCTGTACAACATCAGATCACGTTAGAATAGCGCACATTCAAGAACATGTACTACCTCTGCATGATCCAATAACTTTGTCAAGACGACCTTTAGTTGCTCTTAGTAAACGTATATTCTACTTTATACAGGGTTGATTTTGAGATGAACAATAAGTTATGGTCAGGTCCAGGAAGTCTTTATCAACTGACATGGTGGAAACACGACACTTTACTTGCACTGGGGAAGTTAAATGAGGAAGGAGAGAATGTGATCTGTGAAATATCATTGTCTGAAAATGATGGAGAATATAAAGCAAAATATCAGTAAGTTTTGTTTTGTTGCTTTCACACAAAATCCACTGATCATTTAGATTGTATTATAATTGCTTTATCTTACAGAAATGTTTTGCCAGTTGAAAATATTCTTCGTTTGTCTGTAAATATCGATACAGGCTCAGTTGCTGTGGAGTGTGATGATGGTTCCATATTGAAATATACATCAGGTAATCTTCTAGGTAACATGCACCTTGTAGACCACTCTGGCTGCTGCCATGTCACCCATATATGAGTCTGATACCCTGATCATGGGTCCTAGAAGGCCTTAGGCAACAGAGAACCCACAACAACTCTACTGGCTACTGTCATGAGTATTGCAGCACAGTAAGTCACAGGAGAGGATACTCACGTCCATCTAAGTAATCCCCTACCTTCGACCGACAGTAGGCTTGACTCAGTGTCATTGGAAGCAGGTCGCTTGCCATATTTCTCGTATGTGTTTGATTAACTGTTTTACATCGCCTTCTAGACTGTGGTCACGCTGAACTCAAACCATGGGTCGACTCAACTGGAAATACGATAGTTTTACCACAACCGTGTATTTATATTCAGACTGTACAGATTGGTGATGAGGTATGATATAGCATTCCACTTGGCAGACTTCTTTTCTTGCTTATTGACTCTAACAATATATTGTTTCCACAGGAAGTTGTCATTGGCTTGACTGAGCATTCTAGACTTTATGTGAACGACAAAGAGATTGCCAATAATTGTTCATCATTTTTTGTTCATGACGAGTATCTTCTCTTGACAACCACTTCCCATGTTTTGCGTTGTTTGAGCATTTTACCGGATGGAAAAGGTGAGGGAATGGTTTTGTAAAAGTTCATCTTTTTGGGGGTTGATCCAGCTTGATTTGCTTCGCTGGGAGAGAGCTACCGAAGTATTTTGGTAAGAGCAGTTTACGGCAAAGGTCATGCTTGTGTTAGAAATTGGGAATACTTAGATGCTATGCTTGTTGGTTGCCTGAAGCTTGCTGCAAGATGGTTGTCTTGAAGCTGTAGGATTGAATGAGGAAACAGGCACACTGAGAAAACCAACGCTGAAGTTGTTTTGTCATAGGTTTGTCTTCGTTACTGGCGGGTAAAACCTTGGAGGAGAATGTTAGAAATATTGAAAGAGGGTCAAAAATTATAACTGCTGTTACACAAGATACCAAAATGATTTTACAAGTAAGATAACTGTTAAACATTGCAACACATACTGGATTTATAAAGCATTCTTCAAAGAAATTGTAGTACAGTTGTCTTCAGAGAATCTGTTGAATTTTGTGGTTTAGATGCCGAGGGGCAACCTGGAAGCGATTCATCCCAGAGTTTTAATTCTATCCTATCTCAAGAAATGTTTTGATAAGTATGCTTTTTTGTCAGGTATTTTGTTATTGTATATTTATTATATTTATAATGTTAACATTGGCTTGTCGTTTCAGTGTAAGATATAAAGATGCTTTTACATGTATGAGAAGACATCGCATTAACTTGAACTTACTTTATGATCATAACTGTAAGGTAAGAGAATAACATTTAGCGTTACAAGTAGGATTAGGTATTTTAAGATGTAAATTGACCCAAAAATATTTTTAGCATTTCCTGGAGAATGTGGCAACCTTTATTCAACAAGTTGAATCTGTCTCCTTTGTTAATATGTTTTTATCAGAATTGAAGTAAGTACATATAGCTAGCTATCAGTTCTCCCCTAGATGTTTAGTGAGACCTCATTCGTTCAGTAACGCTTTCTTTATTGGTCAAGTGTTGCTGCAGGGGTAACCAGAGCAGAAAACTTGTGGGGTTGGTAAGAACTAAAGCACTCTCCTCTCATGTGACTCCTCGGAATTTATCTTGTTTCGTTTTTTAGAGCAGATGATGTTACACAATCCCTATACGCAGATTACTATCGTGACAAAACTCCTGCGTAGGTATTTTGTGTTTGGATATTGTAGAAGCATTCGTGTTGCTTGTTTACGCGTGTTTGTGTGATTGTAGAGAGAAGTTGGAGAAGAAAGTGGATACGATATGTGATGCTATGAGAAAAGCTTTGGAAACTATTGATCAAAACAAGTACGACAGGAAATCCTAATATCACTTTAGAACAAAATTTCAATTACAACAGTGTAGGTTTCTCGAAAGGCTGTTTATGAAAATTGTTTATTTTTAGGTATCTTCTTTGTATTTTGACATCACATGTGAAAAAGTCCACACCGGAGTTAGAAACTGCTTTACAAATTGTGAAAAATCTTAAAGGTAAAACAGCGCTCACGCCAGTGTTTGTGTAAACATTTCATTTGAACGAATGCAAGATATTAACAATTTTTCCTTCAGACAGCAAGCAGGTCACTGAGGCAGAAGATGCCCTCAAGTATCTGTTGTTTTTGGTGGACGTCAATAAGATGTATGATGTTGCTCTTGGAATGTATGATTTTCAGCTCGTTTTAATGGTAGCAGAGAAATCACAAAAAGTATGTAATAAAATTATAGAAAGATTCAACCATAATAGGGGTTGATGAGGATCTACCTCAGTTTCGTGTGAAGACAATGCTTTTAGTTTGATTCTGCCAAACACCACAGATTTTCTCTCAGGTTTCCTCTTGTGCTGTAAAGGATAAGTCTTACTGGAACTCTAGGAAGAATAGGGCTAGCCTGTGTAGATAAAGATAGTTTAGGCTTCCTCCTGTGCTGGATCAATAAGAGATCATGGTACTTACTGGTCTTTTACGAAGAACAGTTTAGAACTGATAGAACTATTCAGTGTAAATGAAACTGCGCTTTCGGTTTACAGGATCCGAAGGAATATCTGCCATTCCTGAATAATCTTCGGAAGATGGAAGAAAATTATCAGAAATACTCGATTGATAAATATTTAAAACGTTATTCAAAGGCCATCAAGCACCTTGCCAAATGCGGTAAGTTCAGTTATTAGCCGTGCTCCGTCATCAGACGTGAGTCGTATTTGGCCTATTATACGCCTTTGTCACGTTTGAGTCGTGTCCTTCGCAACGCAAACCTCTGCTGCAAGGAAAGATGGTTCTATTTTTATTTTCTTCACATAGGGCCAGAAAGATTCAACGAATGTCTAGAACTGATCAAAGAACAAAATCTCTATACCGAAGCTTTACAGTTATACTCTGGTTCTGAATATAAAACAATAGCTGCGTGTTATGGAGAATATCTTATTGAGAAGAGACGATACGAGGAATCTGGATTAGGTAAAATATTGATTATTGCCACCATTTCAGTTGGGGTGGTTACTGAAGATAAAGCATGAGTCGAAATTCATCCTGTATTGTTTGCATTGTTTTGTTAGTTTTGTTTCGTTGTGGACATTATGAACGAGCGCTTGAAGCTTTTCAGGAATGTGGAAATTGGAGACAAGTGTTCTGTGTGGCAACAGGAAAGCTTGCGTTCTCTACTGAGCAGATTTTACACTTGGCGAGGTCTATGTCAGGTATACAATTTAGTACTCTGCAGTATACGGTACATCTGAAGAAATATGAAATTATATTACTAATACAAGCAACTGTTGAAAAAATGGGGCAACATGCGTCACATTTCTACCTAACTTGTTGACATCAGTTTTTGTTGCGTGTTGTAGCAAGGTCTTTCTCTATCTTCAGGTTACTTGAAAGAACACAATCGTATTGCCGAGGCTGCCGTTGTCCTCGTAGATTATGCTAATGTAGGTCATTGCAGTTTTGAATTGATTTACAATCCTTGCTAACACTGCTGAACCTTGGTTTATGAACTGTTTGTTGTGTAGAAGTAGACCTTGTATATGAATATGGTTTCCTGTTTCAGGACTCCGAGGGTGCAATTGAATGCCTTATTCATGGTAAGCTGTGGGAAGAAGCCTTACGATTGGTAAGCATACATCAGATTATGTGCTGCAGAATCACATCTACTCAATAATTAATATCAACATTTAAACTACCCTATAATAACCAGTACCGAGGTCATCCTGGTACCCAGGGTCTTTTTGGTCCTAGTATGATAGAAAATAGCCTGGGTACGAGGTTGTACCGAGGTCTCTCTTCAAATATTACTTCGTTTTTCACAGATCTATAAACATGACAGAGAAGATATTATTGAGACTCACTTTCAGCCAGCTTTGTGTGAAGGTAAATGTAAACACATTTTAACATACAGTGTATATTTGTACCTTTTGCATTTGTTTTTGAGTATTTCTCGTTACATTCTGACCTCAGCTTGTGAACAGACATTGGCATCTTTTGAGTCAAAGAAAGAAGATTTTGAACAATACAGGACAAGACTTGGAGTTGTTCGCGAGGAAAAAGAAAAACGCAAGCTTCAATTGATTGGTATTTAGTTTTAATTAGAATTAGTTGTTGAGCATGTCTTACGCTGCATGCTTTTTAACTACAAGCTGTAGTTCTGCTAAACTGTTCTCCCTAGAGCTCCAGTAAGGACCATCCCTTCAGTAGTACTACAGGAGGAAGCCGATGTAGAATACATGGAGAAGACCTTTGGTGTTTGGTATTGCCGAACTGGAAACACTTTTCCGTCACGCGTCTGAGGTGAACTTATGATGAGACAAATCTCAGTCACAGAGATGAAATCACTGACACTAAGATGGAAGCACAGTCACAGAGATGGAAGCACAGGCACTAAAATATATCTTGTGTTGTAGACAATGAACTTGAAGAGGATCTTAACGCTGATCTATTCTCTGATATCTCGAGCATTACTGGGCAAAGTACCATGACGTCATCGTCTGTATCTTCGCGAACATCGCGGACTACTGGGTAAGAGTGAGTTTGCAAATTATTGCTGAGTTTCAGAAAGTGTTACGAAATTCAATTCTCGAACTATTGACAAGTACAACTTAAGAAAATTAAATCTCTCAATTCTATGTATATAAAACTACATTATTTCCTCACTCTGATAACTGCAGGTTGACCCATCTGCTGTACGATAGTGAGACCAACGTATTCAACAAACTAGACAAAAAACTCTGCATTTCTTTTGCAGCAAGTCATATAAAAATCGTAAGAAATCTCAACGTAAAAAAGTCAGTTTAAAAGAAGGAAGTCAGTATGAAGATTTAGCTCTAATGGAAGCTTTGGCTGAAATTATTTCATTTGTTGATAAAATGCAAGGTAGGATTTTATCTTTTCGCCAGGCTTTGGGTGACTTTCTATTTTACTATCCCGAAATAACATAACAGGGATTAGGGTTATGGCTAGGACTGAGGTTGGGGTTAAGATAAATGTTGTAGTTTCCAGTAAGTATTGTGTTTATGTATTTCAGAGGAAGTGTCAACGTTGTTAAGAATGCTGATGTTATTTGCGTACCAGCAAGAAGCCAGTATGCTTCAATCAACTTATGGTGAAATATTAGATATGGTTCGTGGTTCTATGAATGACATTTGGCCGCCAGGTTTACCACAAGAAACAACTCCTGTGGTAGGTTTACATTAATTCACACATTCTTAGTTTCTTGTACGTTTGTATTGGCTATAAATAGGGTTGTTTTGTTTTATGGAAGACGCAACGTTTACTTCGCAAAGCTGTTCATCCTTAAACCCGGATATTCATCAGTGCAAATTATCCATTCATTAAATTTCTTAAAATATTTTTCCCACAGAGCTTTGGTCCTCATTTGACTTCAAACACAATTGTACGATCCATGAAGAATAACGACACAACACAACGTAAAGGTATCGTTATAAGTGACTTCATTTAGTACCATAGTGCAGCAGATGCTGGTCAGCCTGCAGTTACCAGAATGAAGGAATAATGTTAAAGTAGTCTTATGCTTGGTGGCAAACGATAATTGAGAATTGTAAGTTAATTTTCTTGCTTGTACAAGTAACAACATTTCTTAGCTTCCTGGCAGGCATCTCGTAGTTGCCTGCAAGAAATTTTGCCCGATAATCGAAAGGCGATGCCTGCGGAGGAGGCTAGACATTTCTGAAGTTCACTACCATTTCCTTGCTGTGACTAAAATCTCCCAGTTATGGCAATTCAATTATCACATTTATTTGTTCATTTATATAAAACACGAGCACGAGTGTTTTATCAGATATAAAACACGAGGCGACACCCGAGTATCTTATATCTGATAAAGCACGAATTACGAGTATTTTAATTGACTTAAAAAACAACCCATCTTATGAGTTTATTGGCGTAGTAATTTTAAAAATAAACGTTGTCTAAGCAGAGAAAATCAAAGCTAAAGTTTATGTAAATGAGCATGATTTTTTATCACAAATAAAACCACCGACACAGCAGTGATTTCCTTTGAATGATTGCTATTGAATTATTAATAAGTTTTTTAATTTTTAGATATTCCTACTCCTCCAGCTCCTGTTCTTCAAAAACTTCTACACTGGCGCTTGGATCAACTCATGTGATCTGATGGATGATCAGAGATGTCCTTGGTTCTGCCTCGCCTCGGATGAATCTAAGATCAGTTATGAGATAAGAGTCATATATCCTGAATAACTCGTGCAATACTTTCGATCATGTTATTGTGCAATGTTCAAACTGCCCCAAAATTGACATGTCTCAAGTGGGGTATTAGACTTTCACAACGTTCTTCGTCTTGCTTCATAAACAGCAAATACGAAGGACTCGCAACCTAATCGCTTGGACCGAACCATACACCAAACACTAACAAAAGAATCTTCGCGCATGCCTGTAACATCCAAACAGGAATTTCTTAAAGCGTTTAAAATTTCCAAACAACGATTCATATGTATTCAACATCCAACCGCAAAAGCGTGTTGACCTTAACAGCTTGAACTGTGATGACTGGCAAAAATATGAATTGCTATTTTGAATAATTACACTGCTTTCTTCAATAACATCGTGTCTTAATGTTTTGTGGATAATCTTTAGAATTCTCAATTACTGTGTATCGCCCCTTCATTCTATGAGGAATATTTAGGGTAAATTTAGTCTTGATCTAATGGTGTTCTCTTTTACAATGTTTTTATCTGATCAATTTTAAAAAAAACATGTTTCGCTACTCTAATTAATCGATGAATTCAAGTCAATGAATGAAATACCCCAAATCACAATTCATAACCAATTTCCATTGACGTCTTCTAGAACAGCCCATGGCCAAATTAAGTACACAAGTTATTTGTTTAACTTTATTAATGGATAATTGAATTATTTATAGATTAACACAAACATATAACACAAGTTATCTTTCAGGTAAAAATTTAATGTTGAATGTTATTTCAGTATAATCGAAACTAAAGCCAAATGAATTCAATAAAACAACTGGCTGCATTTGTAAAAAATATTATTGACGAAGTGTTTGTATTAATGTTGTTTTATGAGACAGAAGTTGCAGAGCAGTCTGATTTGAGGAGGTGTTAGACACGTTAGGTGGTCCTGATGTTTGTTTTTGCTCGTATAATTATCAGTCGTAGTTGTTTTGAAAACAGTATTATTGCTTATAATACTTTAGTTCAAGTCTCTGTACTCAGACTGTAGTATACGTGTCAATGTTTATGCACAAGCTAAGTGTATTTTATACCTTCTTTGTTCTTGTAGTTATTTGGAGTGCAATAGCCCTGAATGTGACAAGAAAGTTGGACAAAATAAATCACTTTACTTCAAAAAGACCTGAAAATCTCACAACACTCAATTTAACATCAATATCGTATCACTCTCGCGAGTCTAGTGCCGGCCAGGACCAAATTAGCAACCTAAACTACAGTATTTTATCCAGCCAAGTATCGTCTGTGACCAGTGTTGTCTCCTCGTGTTCTGGGCAATGTAGTGGCGTAAAACAACAACCAGTGTTCAAACGAGAGCTCAAGGAAGGTGATCGTTTTGCGTCGTTTTATAAGGTACATATATTAAAATCAAGTCAGTTGGTTCTCAGCAGAATTACTTGTTCTGAACAGAGATTCCGTCATTGACTCATTGATTGTGAGAATAGAACTCGGGGAATTTGGCCTCGGGTCAAACGATTATCAGAGTTGGTAGTCCCACGTTGTTCCGGGGGACATTTCAAGCTCTGGATTAACAAAATAAAGGTTTGAAGAGTGTTCCAACACTATGTTATAACTTAATAAAATACATAACTGTTATGTATAAATAATCGAAATATCACGTATACTCGAACCGACTTGACTTGATAAGAGCGTCGGACTAACTGTCCAGTTTGAGCAGGCAGGCTGTTTGCAGTAGCGTCATCTATCACGTCACTGTTGTAAGGAAAGATTATTGCAAAAACCTTATTTGTTGTTTGTTTAATAGGTTCGTGACTGGCTCCTTCTTGGTGTTGTCCTGACTGGCATTATATTCCTCCTTGTCACTCACATTTCAAGCAGACGTCCTCACAGATTTAACACATATTGTAGAAAGATCTGTTAAAGGTTTTTAAAGGTAGGATCACTTGTACAGATGTCGGATTATACATATATTGTACTTATTCACCATATATAGAGGTATACATAGATAGTAGATACTGAGGCTGCTCTAATCTGATGTTGTACAGAACTGTGAGCCTCTCCATTGTTCTCTCGCGGTTGACTCCGTCAAATATGTTTAAGTCATGCCTAACCAAATTTAAACGGTTTGTGCCAGTTTAGGTTTTGTAACCAAATTAATAACTATGTTTTGAACTTGAATCTACTTGTAACTACATAACACATTACACATTACATTGATTCTGATCAGGATTTACAATGAAAATACAACATGCGAGACAACACGTATATACAAAACACGCACGTATGTACAACACGTACATATAAAAGAGCATTGACTGAACTGTTCCATGCGCAACTAGTTTGCAAACATTTATTTCATTACAAAAACCAAGTTATAAAAACTATTGTACAAAGTGAACCCAAATTTTTCCAAGAAATAAACTACATTCACTGCATATAATGTTACCACGCCCTGACGCTACTGGGCCTAATAGCCCCCCTCTGTTTTACACATCGGTGGATTAAAATCACCAAATACATTCAACTCTATAACGCATGCAATAGTTATAAATACTAAATACACTACAATATATGTACAGCCAACGGTTTTGGTCAATGTCCAGTCATTGAAATGCATCATTAAAAATGTCAGTAATATTGAAGCCATGATAAAGAAACTGCTTATAAATAATCCATGACTGTTCAGAACTATGGAAGATTTTGTTTCGAAGACCATCGTCTTGAGTGTCCATGGTAGGCCAAGACACAGCAGGATGTCGAACACGTTACTGCCCACGGTATGACTGCATGCCATATCGCCATCACCTGTTGAGAAATATATGCACAATGTTTAGATTGTCGGCATATCGCCGTCACCTGTTGAGAAATATACAGCTATTTCAATTAAGGTTGTCCACGAGCAAAGCGGGAAAGTCGAATACGAATTGTCGGCATATCGCCGTCACCTGTTGAGAAATATACAGCTATTTACACTGGCCTGTAGGCCAAGTGTCTTAAATCCCTCTTTTTCTGTTTTTTTCGTAGTCGAGAAATCGAGTTTGCGTTAGCGCATCGCAGGCTCAAGGTGCAACGATTAAGCCAAAATGCCATCGATTCCCTCCGTTCCATGATTCAAATACAATAGCAACAAGTTACGTATTTATGTACGTACTAGCCGACTCATGCCATGCTTGTGGTACATTTTTCGTTTATTAGCCTATACACTTGTACGCACGCGCACAATTCCGAACTGCAATGGCGGCTTTTCACAGAGTGATCAAACTATATTTTACACAGTTTCGTTGAATTTTCAAAGAATTGTGCCAGTTTCCTATGTATTTTACGTTGTGTCGTACTCTGGACTTTCTTGCGTGTTGAATTAATGTGTTTTTCTTTGTGTAATGACTCGAAAACCACAAAATATAATATTTAGTACTCCACGAAATATAATCCGCACGAAAAGCTTTGTGGTAGCTATACTGAAAGATAAAGCGTGCGTTCAAATACCAACAAGAACTAGAACCATTATTGTATCATTTGTATGGTTCTCATTTGCTAGATTTGCCACAAGTCGACCTCGAAGAAACGCATTTCGTTCGAGGTCGACTTGTGGCAAGTCTACTCATTTACAATAACATTTATAGTTCGACGCGAATTTTAATACAACTATGGTATCATATTTCATAATACAACAAACAATGTAAACTAGCCATACATTTTGCCGAACATAACTTTGGCCCCTTTGGACATATCTTTTTCGTGATAATGTTATTGGAACCAGAATCGAAAACATTATTTATAGTGTTATTTTCAAGCTTGTGTCTTGAGATTCTCATCTTTTATTTCGGTATTTACAGAATATTTATATTTTTAGCGCGGCCCATGGAACGCACATGAAAATAACGCGCTGTTAGGAAAAACCGGAAATCGATTCTGTAGATCGGCATGATTTGCACGTGCATCGATCTCCATTTCGTCACCCGAAAAGGTCTTTTATTTTTTAAAAAGTCCATAAAATTTGCTTGCGGTTTAAGATTTGTATTCCTGCCTTTTGCACCATAGCACGTATCTCGTTATTTTCAGGCCAGTGTGAACGCCTGAGCAGGCGTCTTGTTCAATTAAGGTTGTCCACGAGCAAAGCGGGAAAGTCGAATACGAGCGCGAAAGGCTGCTGGGAATCGCTAACAAATTAATGAATTTTCAAAGCGATTCCCAGCAGCCTTTCGCGCTCGTATTCGACTTTTCCGCTTTGCTCGTGGACAACCTTAATTGAAATAGCTGTATACACAATGTTTATCGCCGTCACCTGTTGAGAAATATAATATGTTTATATCGAAATTTTCTGTCAAGCACGGCTTCACATGCGTCTCCTCGCATTTCATGTACGGCTCTGTGACATGCTAGCACTACATTGGAGAAACTGGAAGATGTTTGAGGGTGTGGTTCGTCAAGATGCCATCAACGACAATGCTACAAACTGTTGCTAGACATTATAACGATGGCAATTGAAGAATTACATTTACGAAGCCGACACTTCAGTCTAGTTTCTTCATGCAACCAGGTATAATAAATATTGTTGTCTATCTCGGGTTTATGTAAATGAGGCAACAACGCAAAGGTGCTCTTGTGGGAGACAGATATTGTTCTCCCAATCCAAAGCATGATATTCCAAGTTGCTTGAGGTTGAGAAACTCAGAAACATTGTTTGTTAAATAATCGTTATCTCACTGATAACCTTACTATAACCTTACTTACTGCAACTGCATCTAACATGTCCTCACCTTTCTTGGCGACCACCAAGCTGGAAATACAGTCAGGTACACTGCTTCCAAATGCCACCAAAGTTAATCCCATGACAGTGTCAGGGACACCGAAAGTAAATCCCACCAGTGTGACCATCCACACAAGAATATATGACGTCACAGCTATCCATGCGATGCATACAATGAATGAGAGAGGGTACCACTTCCGACATTTTGGTTTTCTTACATCGGGGATTGTAAAATAGAAGCAGACGTTGAGAGGCAGAGCCAGACACCACAGGAATATTTGACATTTTCCACTTGGAGGATGGAACGGGTTGCCTAACGCAACATCGAATTCCATGTCTTGAAGACAGCATTCCGCTTTTGAAAATAAATATTAATTGAGTCAATTTCCGTATTAATATGTTCAACATCAATACAATCTTAACTCTTACCCCTTTATCGTAACTCTAATCCTAAATTTAACCTTTAAATGTCATTTCGTGATAGTAGTATGTAAGGCTACCCACTACTGCGTGCAAAAACTACACGTATCTGGTGTTGAAACTGTGTGCTGAAATGGACAAATTGGTACAACGTCAATTCCTACGCCAGTCATACCTTGATCAGGAGTGGCTATACTGGATCCTGGATCAGTCTTGATTTCCACCTCATCATCATTAATCATCAACATTGCTGCTGTGTCCATTGCACCATCCTCACCACCCTGTTCAATATTCTCTTCCGCACCCCCCTGACTCTCCTCGTGTTTGTAATGATGTTCTGCGCAAAACTCGTCTGTACCGTCATCCCTTGCGGGAGCTAATCCTGTATACCCCAAGTGATGTTCAGAGGAATGAGGTTCTTTGACTGTGTTAGTGATACGACAGAAGAATTTTTCTATTGTTGGATTGAAGTACATCAGCATTAGGTAGAGTGAATAGGAACACATCATGATGATTGCTTCGTACCTACACAAATAAAATTTGTTATTGCCTTGTACTTATAAAACTATGCTAAATGGTTGTGTTCGATAGATGTACATCTGTATTGCTGAGTATAGTGATTGCTTCGTAAAATAAAATTATGCTGTTGTCTCGCACCTACAGAAATATCAGAGTAAAACTATGCTATATCGAATAATAACTATTGAATCACTGAATCAGTGGGCAAACTAACTTCGAGCCAGGCTGGTCACAGAAACTTTGATAGTGTAAGCCAGGTTTCAGTGAGCTTCTTACCATTTAACGACGCCATCCATAATCACCAACACTAACGCTATCAGTGCGAGAAGATAAGACATGAGATCACGGACTATTGGCCACCACGACAGTTTGAGCACCTGAGTTTAAAAAAGAACTTGTTATTTTGGGCTGTAACAAATGTTGAAGGAAAGAGAAGCAACTTACATGGCCGGAGAAGAGAGCACAAATTCCAATAACAAATAAAACATTAAACACAGCAGATCCCAGGATTGTCCCAGTACCAATGTCACCTTTGGTTATAAAAACACCTGAGATGAAGAAAGTATGTTAATAGGTATTATCAGGATAAGGCCTCTTTCAATCATCCAGTGGCATTGAACTAGCTTTGTTTATTTATGCTAGATATCACTTTTGAACTGTTTTTCCTAGAGGTCCAGTAGGGGCAAACTCGCGATGTTTTGTAGAATCTAACTGGAAGCATTTTGCTTACATGCCAGTGAAGGCGGCTGCATACTGCAGGCATCGAGCCTTCTGACACGTAAAACTATGAAATTAAACCCTGGTCACAAAGATGAAACACGCATGCGCTGTGCTACAAATATCCCAGTGTTCCTTGCGAGTTAAACATTACGTAATTCGTATTACAGGGCTTGCATTGATAACAACTCTTTATTGAACTGGAGTGATCTATCCTGAAAAATATTCGTTTATGAAACAACTAGGACGTCGTCCTATACTAACCAATGACAGAAGCGAACAATTCCGGAGCAGAACTTCCTAACGCCATAAAGGTCGCCCCAGCCACATCACTTTGTAAATTACATCTTTCACATATGACATCCAGTGCAGGAACAAAGTAATCATCGCAAATGATGGTGATTGCCCAGAACATGTAGAGCGCCACTACAATATGTACGATGATCCCCCCGTGCAGTCTCTGATTATGGTTCATTGAGTCACGAGGAAATTCCAGTATAGCCGGGGGGGTGCATGTTGGTTTCGTAGGATGGCTCAGTAAATGTCGAAAACTTGACTGAAATATCTCTAAAAATTAGGAACAGTTTCAAAATGTGTGGAGGACCAGTAAGAGCCATCTCTTATATTGATTCACCAGAACACTTGGACTAAACTAACTTGGATAGTCTATTGGTTCTAAACTGTTCTTCTTTTTTCTTTTTTTCTTTTTTTTTAATTAATATTTAATTTCAGGAAGCTTTCTCACAAAGTGATTTTCAGAAAGGTCCTGAACTAAATAAACTATTATACAAGAAAGGTCTAGTAAGGATCATCTCTTGTTGATCCAGTGTTACTACAGGAGGAAACCTAAACTAAACTAACTTTATTTATACTGGTATCTCTATCAGTCCTGAAGAGGTCCAGTAAGACCCTCTCGCTTCAATGTCATACGAGAAAAGACAGTTTTCTCATGATGCATGTGACATATCTTTAGCTGTTACACAAACTTATTTTGTCTTAAAGAAGGTCTCTATACATGACGAATGAACCGCATCAAAGATTCTTTGTATTTGAAGAGCACTTGTATATATTGACGGCTGCATGTTATAACAACGGATATTATATTCTGTTTCAGGCGGCTCTGTTTGTTCCAATCAAACAGCTTTGTTCAATTTTTTCCGCTCGAGCTAGGCACTATAGATTCGTGTTTAATTATAGAGGGGAAATCAGCTCTGTGAAATCCCCTCATGAAACTATGCTCGTTTCCCAATCTAGCTTTTTATAGGCTGCATCCAATCTGGCTTGTTATAGACTACATCCTATCTAGCTTGTTAAAGACTACATCCTATCTAGCTTGTTAAAGACTACATCCTATCTAGCTTGTTAAAGGGTGCGTACTTGGCTTCCACTTACAAGAAAATTAAACTACAACTCTCAATTCTATTTATTTGCCTCCAAATACAAGACTACTAATAAACAATTTGTACAATATATACAAGACTACTAATATATAATGAAAATAATGAACATTTTCTCGCTCTGAGAACTGCAGGTTGACCAGCATCTGCTGCACGATTTTGAACCCATAATGGGAGGAAGTTAAGAAAGTTTATTCGCAGGAGGAAGTTTTTTCGCAGATGAGAATAGATTGCTGTATTGAATGTACAGTAATACTCTGAAGTTAGGCTGTCTTTCATTTATACTGGGAGTGAGAAGACTTGACAACCCACGCGACTGAGTCAACACAGACAGTACATCATGAGGCTTAAAATGTGTTCTGTATAACATCGAACTTTTACAAAGTAGGTAGCCATGCATATCGAGGAAAATTTACCTGTACCTGATCTAGCAATGTCTAGAACCAATGTTTGGGGCCCCTACTCACATTTTTCTGAACACAGTCATATGGTTTAATGATACGAAAATTCAAAACTCTTTCAAGTGCATGTTGAAAAATAATAAGGAACGAGAGCACATAATTGATAACTGCGCGGTCTCGTGGTTTTACTTTTCCATTGCATTAATTCCTTGATTAAAAATCGATAATAATTACGATTCTAATAATTACAAATCTTGACTAATTGAAGATGAATTCAGCTGCAGCGGAATTATGATTATCTGGCAACATCCAAATTATCTTTCATAGCACTTTTCGAGGCTAAGCTTTCAAATTATAACTTTATCGCTTTAGCAGCGGGAATAGTAGCTATCTGAGAAATTACGGATTGAAAGCTTTGCCAAATGAACGTCGTATTTTCCACCAATGATTCACAGTTGCCATGCAAAACAGCTAGAAACTTAATATAAAATATTTACCTCGATTTTGAGACGATCCAAGTTTAATTTCCTGTTTCATTGTGTTTGTTGAAAGTTGAAGGAAATCTTTCAGGATATAGAAACCACAACAGACAGCGATGTAGAACATAAAACATTTCATTTTCCCCTTTCTAGTGAGTGAAGCCATATTTCGAAACGAGATTGCTTCCCAGAGCCGTGCAGGTGATGTTGGCTGGAATATGAAAGTAATTTCAATGTTTGTTTTGTAAGGTAAGCCAACTTAATTTGAATTTCAATTTTTGTAAGAGGTTGTTTGAAGTACACGTCCGCTTTAGGGAAAATGATATTAGCCATGCACATCATTGTCGAGTGTTTTCTCGAAATATTTACAATTTCCGGAGGGGGAAATAATTTTAAAAACTGTAAAAAAATATTAATTCTGGTTAGTAAAAATTGAGTGAACGTAATGTTGACAAGCGGCTACAGAGCTGAAGAGGGTGGCTAAATGAGAGGAGTCACGGTGTATATTCTCTGATATAACCCTGCATGACTACAGAGCTGAAGAGGGTGGCTAAATGAGAGGAGTCACGGTGTATATTCTCTGATATAACCCTGCATGACTACAGAGCTGAAGAGGGTCGCTAAATGAGAGGAGTCACGGTGTATATTCTCTGATATAACCCTGCATGACTACAGAGCTGAAGAGGGTGGCTAAATGAGAGGAGTCACGGTATATATTCTCTGATATAACTCTGCATGACTATAGCTGTGAAATTGTGTCTGTTATGAGTATTTTGTTGACGTTAAAAGTGTTCTTAGCAGTTTCAAAAGTATTAAAGTAGTTAGGGGCTTAGAGGTTATTTAAGAATTTAAGATGGGCAAATAAAAATTTAAATACGTCCAAGTTGGGAGGTAATCCAATATCCATGACGAAAATAATTTCAACATGGGCGGCTCAAACCACTGAGATGACAAAATAACTGGATAGCGCATCTTACATCCAAACTCGTCAATTATATTTTTCGCTACTTACACTAATGATCCACGCAACATTGAAGACACGGAATAATATAAAGTTATTTTATAAGCACGTAATATATATGTAATGTATATAGAAATATACAATGAAATAGTCCTGTAAGGCTGTATACAAATCTTTACTACAGAATTTTATAAATCCAAATACAACAATTACCATAAATACAGGATGAGAAGAAACGTAAAATAGAAAAAATCTTTAAATTTTACACAAATTGTGAATTGTAAAAGATTTTAATTTTGTCTTATTATTCTCTATACAGGTGGCAAGTTCAAGTTAGAAAAGAGAAATAATACACAGGTACCTACCGTCTTATGTTCTTCCTTATGAAAACAATACTTTATCCCAGCTATATCAAGTTTAAAACATCCCAGGTTATGATCCTTTGAATCGTTAGTACATAGTTTCTTAAAGATCTAGCCATATTCACGGCTAGCCGTTCGGTAACTCCATGGAATGATGGAATGTCAACGAAAGTTTGACAAGCGTTGATTATGTCATGTCTCTGTGATATTTTGTTAAGTTACATTTTAATAAAGAACTTGTTTGTTGTTCCGGGGGGTGCATGCCGCGAAATGTCACCTCAACAGGTTTCGTATCAAGGCGTAGCAAACCGTCTTTTCGGGTTTCAGATTTCCGTGTGGAAACAACAAACTTGTATTAAAATCATCAGTTTCATCAACGTGTGAAATAAAATGCCCTAGAGACGTGAAAAACACCTCTCCGTACCTTTTAGGAACGCTGTTTTCAGAGGAATTATTGCAACGGAGAAATGTTGTTTCGCTCAGCTTCTGAAAGTTATACATTCCGTATCGGACAGGTGCTTTTTCGCGCCACTATACGGAAAAAGTAGCTGGATTTCAATACCGCTATTTGTGCTAAAGACGATTGAAGGGCATTTTTGTAGCGAGATGAATGGCATTTCAAGGCATGCTAAGACTTTGTTAATATTGACTTTGTCTTGATCATTAGTAGTGGAAAAAGTAGCTGGATTTCAATACCGCTATTTGTGCTAAAAACGATTGAAGGGCATTTTTGTAGCGAGATGAATGGCATTTCAAGGCACGCTAAGATTTTGTTAATATTGGCTTTGTCTTGATCATTAGTAGTGGAAAAAGTAGCTGGATTTCAATACCGCTATTTGTGCTAAAAACGATTGAAGGGCATTTTTGTAGCGAGATGAATGGCATTTCAAGGCATGCTAAGACTTTGTTAATATTGACTTTGTCTTGATCATTAGTAGTGGAAAAAGTAGCTGGATTTCAATACCGCTATTTGTGCTAAAAACGATTGAAGGGCATTTTTGTAGCGAGATGAATGGCATTTCAAGGCATGCTAAGATTTTGTTAATATTGGCTTTGTCTTGATCATTGATCAAGACGGAAATGATTTAGGATCATTTGCTCCAACTATGTCTCATATAGTGTACAGGTCATCTCCATTTCTACATATAAAGTCATTAGGTTTGTTTTATGGCTGTTTCAACAAATGATAATCCTGCCTCCCTGGACGGAGTGTTGTTATGTTGCTACATGTTAACAATATTGTTTTAGTAATTTAGTAGTTTACTGCAAAACAAAGTTTTCACTCGCTTCTACGACAATGGAGCTATATGTAACAACCACAGATTAAGTATATACCAGATGTGTAACTTCAACCTGTGTGGGTTTTTCCCGGGTACTACGGTTTTCGTCCCTCACCAGACACGTATGGATCCCAGATACATGGATCTCATGGAGGTGTCCCAGTAAGCCCTCGAAGACACAATCAATAAGCTTCAAGAAAGCGTGATTAACACCCCCTATCTTAAGTATTTTAAGTTTTAGCACTTAAACTATTGTGTCTACACCACAAAAGGAATGTTTAGACGTTTCCTTAGTGAGAAAACCAAACATATAACAGACACCACCGGCCTATTTTGGCCTGAATCTTTAGTTGCGCAAAATGAAACGACAGTCGTTTGCCCTATGATTGATGACCACATGTGAATGTTGTGACATATGGACATTTAAAATTATGATTTTTCGTTTAGTAGGGATGATAGCTTATTTTTAATATAAATATTAAAGTTTTAAGTTATTTTATTCAAATTTAAACCGGTAAGCTTTGGAAAAAGCCCACCGCAAACCACAATTTAGATTTGAAAATACGTTGCAAATAATGGAATACTTTGGGGGCAGTGAAATGCAAGGATTATGTCTTTGTGTGTAGCAATTATGAACAGGAAATGGTTTGTAGTTAATAAGAATAATGATATGCTTTGTCGTAATAAGCGTTCTCTAATAATGGGGGTTATGTCCTAATATATACAAATCGTCTAACAACCAATCAGAGAAGAGCAGTTAAAGATAGATACTTAGTGTCTAAGGAAATGGTGGAGTGTAGTCGCACTTATAAACTGCCAAAGTTCTGTAATTGTGACGTATAGTGACAAGGTTGTAAAAGGGCTTGCTGTAACCATTGTCTGGTGCAGTAGCTGAAAATTCACGGCGCATTTCTGAACATCACATCGTGTATATTTGTTGATATAAGGAAGTCTGTTCTAACGTGTGTATAAACCTGTCCTGTTTCGCTTTTGTTAAAATTGGTTATCAGACATCACTCGTCAACTGTGGTTAAAGGCGCTACTATATTCACTGTTTAGCATAGAAGATAGAAGCGGAAAATCAAAGTGAAATTTCTATCAAAAGATCGTTTTCAGTTGTTGATTTAAAGATTGAACGTGTTTTAACGTGGTCCTATTTTACTGACTTCTGGAAATTCCCTGTCAGGAGTTGCAATCAAAATACCTGGTTCTCTATTAAAGTTCTCCATTGGTTCTCTTTCAAGGAATCTTTGCGAGGACGTGCAGTATATCTGTGTTAATTACTGTCGGATTGTGCAATTGGGTTTTGTACCTGTTAAGTGGGCCACAGCTACCTAGGTTACGGCTAAGTTTAGGACAAATTAAAAGTTGAAACTGTATCTATACTGAGAAGATGTCTCTAAAAGATGAAAAGATATCATTTTCGGATCAGATCAGTTCAAGGCTTCATCGTTGGGTTCAGAGAACAACGAGTAAAGTTAGAAACGAGAAGGAACGTGGTCAAAGTGTGACAGTCACTCGCGAGGAAAACGAAGATGTTATTAAAGGCGGCGAAGTGGATATCAAGAAATGTTCTCCGCGTGAAAATTTTGCAAAGAGATCTCGGGAATCACGATCTTATGAAGAATTGGAAAAGGCTTTGAAGGATTTAATAAACAATTGTGTTACGAGCAGTTCTGTTGTACAAGAAAGGAGTTTGACAACACATGACAATACAAATATTAATATCACCAGGGAAAATAACAATAACACGCAACTCGCGCCAACTACAAACACAAATAATGATTTTGGCACTGAATTTAATGATCAATTTGCAGCAAGCAAGAATGTCGAGAAAGTTGAGTCACCATCCGGTAGCGACAGTCTGCAGGAAACGCAGAAGAAAAGTTTAGGAACAAGCACCGAGTCGCACTCACGAACAAATAATGTTGACGCTCCCCCACAGTGTCAAAGCAAACAAAATGACGTCGATGAAAAATTGACAGAAGGAAAAGGGAAAGAAAGTTTGGGAATCCAGAATGAAAACGACACGAGCTTGTTTTCTTCAGAGAAACAAGAAGGAACGAGCGAACATGAAAAGAGGTGTAATGACGATTTTAATAATTTTTCAAAACCTGACAATTGTGAGATTAATATATCATTGAGTAATGTCAATAGAGGATTAAACACGCCAATTGATAGATCAAGTTTGAAAACACCTAGTTCTCAAAGCTTAGCAAGGAAGCCGCCATTAAGACGTATACAGTCGGAAGGCGATGCTCTGGAATTAAAACTTTGCTTCAAGAATAATGACGTTACGGAATTTGCTGCAACCTGTATCAGACATGCGCAAAAGAAACGTTTCTCAGACACCACTCCTGATCGATCAGTAGGTAACACTTGTATGTTGAGCAAGAATAATTCTGATGACGTTTTGGCGCCAAATGGTAAAGGAAGTGCGGGCATGCTAGAACATGCACAAACTATTCCGGAAATAACTTTAGATGAACTAGACAGCAAAACTCGCACTAAAACAGAACAAATTCCTCTATCTGACCGTCCTAGCTCACTTAGTTTTCCTTTAGAGACTCTAATAGGCAAGAATAATGCCAGTTCTTTCAAGAATATCATTTCTAGACGTTCTCCGTCCAGTCCTCCACGGTCAGTTCCCAGTCCTCCACGGTCAGTTCCCAGTTCTTCACTGTCAGCTCCCAGTTCTTCACGGTCAACTCCAAGCCCGAAGTTTCGTAGGTTTCCATGCCAACCGGTATTTTACGTGCCAAGCGAGTCACGACCAGTTACGAACAGCACCCGAAGTGGGTCAATTGGAGAACAGTCGAAAGAGTATTTAATTTAGAAAATAATGTCGTTGCATAAATTAGCATATTTATCATGACTTTACTACATAAATTAGCATAAATAATCATGAAGTTCACATAAATTTACAAAAATAATCATGATATATATTAATTCAAGAAAAGCTAGATCTGCAGTGATTTCACTAATTTGCTTTTCTGGATTCCCTGTCCTAAATTGTGTATAATTACAGGTATTTGATAGTATTGTACTATACAAGGCGAACTTTAATTAATAAATAAATAAAATTAATTTTGTATATATATTTTATGATTTTGGAAACTGTGTGCAGCCCATTGAACTATAAATAAACTGGAAGGCTAACTGCTATGATGAAGGCCTATGATTTGATGAAGCCAAAATAGTTTTTCTGAGTTATGAGCAGAAATACTTGACCCCAAACGTTCGGCTATATATCAAAATGAAGCTATTGAAAATTGCTATTCGGTGTGGAAATTTCAAGACTTCAGCGAAAAGAAAAATATTTAAAAAATACAAAAACAACTGCAAAATGGCAAATTATCGGCAATTATTTTTGTAGTTTTTCAATATTTCCCTTTTAGCTAAAGTCTTGAAATTTCTACACCAAATAGCGTTTTTCAATAGCTTCAATTTGATATATAGCCCAACGTTCAGTGTTGAGTATTTCTGCTCATAACTCTAATGCACTGGCTTCA